CACACCCACACCCACACCCACACCCACACACCCACACCCACACCCACCCACACCTTATTCTAGCATTTTCATCTCTCACAGTTTTTCAGTGTATAGGCACATTTATTATTCATTATAGTGTCTTTATGGTACGTTATCGTGGTCAACTAGATCGATGTTGTTGTTATATTATGTTATTTAGTTATATTCTAACGAATGGAACTTTATTAATATTGCGATTTGTCTCGGATTCATGCCTGATTTGTTCATTTGCATTATTTTTATTTCTGTATGCTTGTTCGGTGCCATATCCATTAGAATTATTTGAAATGAATCAATTAATTTCGAAGACAAAAATAAATAAATAACGCTCGTCGGCGACGACTCGCTTAACCCTCGACTGATTGGTATTGTCTCAGTAAAATAAACTACCCAAAAACCGCATCTTCCATAGACAGATAGTCTTACCTAGTGAAAAACAAATAGCTGCACTCAAATTCTCTATCGAACGAAGTATTATTACTCTCAGCTATGCATGAAGAGTAGTGGTACATCAATAGATAGAATGCAATCTAGCCCAATTCTTATCATCTTACGTCCGTTTCAATCCACACATATATTGCAGGATCATCACCGTCGCCCTCTGTTACGAGTTTTCTTCGAAAGAGTTGTTAAAACACTATTGTAGTCGGTCATCAGCCTCGCTCCAATCCGCCACTCCCGGCTTCCAAATGTTATAGATTACGCCTGTCGCTGCAGCAAGTACTCCCTTCAAAGCCATTCACTCAGCAGCAGTCGATCACGAGATACAAACGATAATACCATTGGTCTACACAGCTCAAGTCAAGACCTCCTCTGAGTTTTCTACAATACCTCATAGAATATGAAGTTAGTACGTCAGTTACAAGCAACACACTAATTTTACTTCTAAAATTTTTCTTGTTTGCACAGACCAGTTTCTTTCGCAACGTACATCTATCTTATCGCTCCAGTGACACTTTTTGATTACTGTCTTTCCTAGCCTTAGTAGATCTTCGCTTGAGAGTTTCTGAGAACAAAGAAGAAGAGAGGGCAGAATCCATCTTGCTCTTATTGATGAGAACCTGATGAAAAGTTGAACTAACTATTTTGTGAAGTTATCATCCGATGTGTCCATATTGTCCAAAGAATAATTAGTCGTCACCGTTTTCTATATGATGCGCATCTATCTCAATCTATCATTATTTTTCGTTGTTGAGAACATTTCTTGGGAACATAAAAAAACTCGTGCACGTGTGTGACGTCAGTTGTATCAGTAAATGAGACGGTACACAAAATAAAATGAAAGAGCGAAGAAGGCATACTCCTCTAAGCAAGTTCGGTCATTTCTTCGTTGTTACAATCGTGCCGGATGACTACAAAAGCGCGTCGGTGAAATCTTTCAAGACTAGCGGTAAACATCGTTGTGGTGAAAAGTTATACTCGCTGCTGCTATCTCTCGCTGCTCACTCTATTTACTAAATGCGTTATCACCTAGTCTCCATACATCGATCACAGACTGACGCTTTTCCTGTCTTGTATTGAGAATCTTCCATACAGACTTAAAATAAGCCAGTGACATTCACCGAAAGGAGTCGCTTCACGACCAAATGCTTTCAACTCAGATCTTTATCACTACCTCTGCTTTTACTCATGGAAAGCAAAAAGCTCGTATCGTCACAATCAGTGTCTCACTTTAGTCTCAGTCTTTAGGTGCTCTAGTGAACTTGTGTCAACTATTCGTTAGATTTATCCCACAAGTAACGCCAATCCTGCAAACCTGGGGATCTTTTTCCGGAAGAGGGATTTGTCATTGTGAACTGAGGATAACCGTGTCCGAAAATTGCTCTTAGATTACGATTGATTGCAATGCATAATCGTTGAGCTAACTACTTGCGCAGGAAAAGATGAAGTGCATCTTAAACTAACGAGGGAAGGTCCCCAAGTGTGAGTGTCCATTTGGACGGGATACATGCCAGATTGTAGAACTCGACGAGTTGATTCTCGTGATATGTTTCGTTTTTCCCAACAGAATTTCATTTGAGAAAAACAAATCAACGGCCCTCTTGATTCCCCTTACTTTGCACAAGCTCGAGACGGATCGTATACGTTCAGAATTTCGAGAATTTTAGCCATTAGAGTTTAATCATTCGAATGACTGATTGATACCGGTGGAGAGTCCTTCAACTAAGCGTACTGTATCACTTATCACGAATGATTACAGCACAAGATGCTACTGCTAAAACTTTGTCATTAGTCTAATGGAATTGAAAAAAGATAGTCATAGAACTGACACTCCCAAGTACAGAAGAAACCATTCTAGCCGAGTTTGTATTCTTAGAACTGTACTAAGTGAACGTGTCATGCTCACAAGCAACAGAGTCAAAGCGTTGGATATTGCACACTTTTAGATATTCTCTAGATGGATGTGTGGAAGTGAGAGACGATGCAGCTACAGGCAGCTTGTGGCAATCTTCTTTTCCAATAATATCACGTTCAACGTCCGATGTTCTACTTCATATTCTGCATCAAAGAAGTTCCGATGGG